CACACACACACACACACACACACACACACACACACACACGCACACACAGTCAGCATGCAGGAGGGAATCTGCAACAGAAGATAAAGTATCCAAAAAAAACCCTAAATCCATAAATTATTTGATTCTACTTACAGAGTTTAGAAATGTTTTTAGAAATCTGAAATGTTACAGAAATAAACCAAAATGTACAGAGAGATCATAACATGTTTTCATCTGTGAAGGGTTACACTTCACAGGTATCAATGATGGGATAGTGTTAATCAACACAAACTATTGTAAGAAATTCCACCGTAAGTCCCCAGCCATTAACATCTCTCGAATCATTAGCAACCCATCTATTTAAGGTTTGTTTAGTTTAAGTTCAATCCTTTTTAAAGAAGTTTTGCTTGTTTGGAGCCTCAGTAATGGAAAAACTGTAATCTTAATTGAATCAATGAAAAGCCATTTGCGAGCTAATATTATCCAGTTTTTGAAAATGTACCTATTTAGGCTTGTGGCAAACAAAAGCCATTACCAACCTCTGGTAGATTGATGGGGACCTGGTAGATGTCCAACAAACTTACTCCACCATTCATGTAAAAATTAAAAAAGAAATGTTGGTGGGGCTGGTTTGTTTCTTTTCATGGCACAATGTTTTATGAGTTGGCATTTAACTACAAAAATGGCAAAAAGAAACTATGTGTTTGGATTCCTTGATTAGTGCATGTATTCTGGGCTGCATTCCCCACTGATTTATCTGAAGGCCACTGTGACAGTCATCGTGTGGGTCAACACTTCTGGAGTTTAATCACCACTTTGGCACTGTTGGGTGAACCGGATCTTATGTCTTGAAACTTAAATAAGGAGCCTAGAAGCTGAATTTTAATTTACAGTCCCAACTTTAGGGGGTAAAAACAGAACTGAGCAAGAGTTGGTTTTTAGGGTTTTTATCGTTAACTTGGTTGCCCTGGGTCTTTTACCATGTTGTAGTTGTGTGTCTTGCTTTGAAAGAAATATTTACGCGTTACTATAGTGACCAGAGAGCATTAAGGGGCAGAGAGGAGGATGTTACTCTCAATATTGTTGCCGCATTTCAGGTGGATGCTGCTAATAAAGTTGCACAATTACACAGTGAATTCATGTTTATTATTGTACTTACAAAATACCACAGTTTTTGTCTTGGTCGTATCATTTTATTTTGTTGCATTTATCCGCCACACCTTAAAAGCCGGTCCGTGGAAATATTGTCTGACATTAAACCGGTCCGTGGAGCGACAAAGTTGGGGACCGCTGGCCTAATGCCATCAATTTCTTTTGACCTTTTTGAGGAGGAACTTCCAAAATCCCAGTGCACTTCAGACCCAGCAACAACTCAGACAAAAACCCAAGGATGAAACATCCAAGCACAAGCTGAACAATGTAGTGCAGTAAGTAATACTAAAACATTTGCAAAGGAGAAACCAAACAACCACTCCACAAGCACAACACAGGAGAACCACCTCAGCAGGATAAGACCCAGCTCCACATCTGCACCTATCCTGACCCATGTGACCTCAACAGTGTTGGTCAAGTTACTTGAAAAAAGTAATCAGTAACTAATTACTGATTACTTCCCCCCAAAAGTAATCCTGTTACTTTACTGATTACTTATTTTCAAAAGTAATTAATTACTTAGTTGCTTAGTTACTTTTTAAAAACATGATTTACAACCTGAATAGGTGATAAAGCGATAGATCTTTCAGCCCAATTCTACTTTTTCTGCATAATCCATCATACAAAATGTAATCAAATGGAAAAGTCTCTTTTTTTTA